AAAATATAATTGTATTTGAAGCTAAAAGTTCGACATCAAAATAAATAGAAGGGAGTTTTGAATAAACCCTAGAGAGTTGTAGAGATGGAGATGGTGATAACCAGTTCGTATTGTCCAGGGTAATCACAGCAGCTCAGCTCTACCAGGTTATATATCATTTTCCCTATAAGAAATGATTTCCTTATCATTCCGTAACTTTCTGTTTGGTTACTAAGAAAACTGCCAAAGAATATTTGAGAAAATTAAGTCTTATACTTTGTGTCGTTTTTCTCAAGGAAAAAAGGAACAAACAAAACAAAACCTGCCAACCACCAATTTTCTCCCTTACATACCTCTGGTTAATCATTTTCGTTAATGATTTTGTTTGATTTTATTCAATTTGGTGACAAAAAATAAGAAGGGTGTGTAAGAGGAGAAAAATGGTGTTTAGTTCTCCTAAATCTAATAATAAAAATATTAGTAAAATGGAATTATTTATATGTAGATATCTATGATCCTGGGAAGAGAATTAGCATTCAAGGAATTTATTGATAAACTAAATGCAGATTATAGTTATTTCCATTTAGAGCTTAAATAAAAAAAATTCGTATTTACTCTACTCAATCTTAACTGAAATGACCAGACATGGATGAGGGGAGGTTTAAGTATCAGGGTACAAATGGGTTCGATATCAAAGCGTCAAGCAAGCGATGGAGATAGAATCACTGCATTGCCTGACAGCCCTCTGACTACAAGATGGGAAAATGTATGTGTTTCTAACCCTATCTAGATTTCCGCTGAGGGAATTTTCCTGCTGATTCTGGTGCTCTTTTAAAATTTTGTTGAGCAGCCATGATCCATCGGATATCCAAAAATTCGGTCATGCCTGTGATTATCTTCATACCGTCAGTTCTTCTCACATTGATAGTTGGATTCACACTACTTTTAGCTAGAAATATAATTTTATCGAGCTTGATCTTTATGCTGCTACATATGGAGACCAGATTATTGAGTTGCCTAATAGTATTTTCATCGTCCAAAACACTAATGGTTTTGACCCTGTGGTCTAATTTTTACCAATGTTCCTGCATCCGGTTGTTTCCCGTAAATTCCCTTACATTATACTTAATTATCCTGAAAATGACTCAATGTTTAAGTTTTTCCTGAACTGGCCTGTACTTGAAAATTTGGCTATAAAAAGGGATATGATGTCGTTTTAAATTTCAACATTTATGTTCCTTAAGTGAGCCCTTTGAAGATGGGCAGTGGCGAAGCCACGTGGGAGCGAGGAGTGGCGGCCGCCACTCCCCTCGCCGGGAAATACCACTGGACCTCGGGTCTTCGCCACTCCCCTCGCGCGCCTCGCCGGAACGCAGCAGAGGCAGAGCCCTCTGTTTTTCTGGGTTTTCTGGGCAATCTGCACTGCAGATTGCATTATAATTTTTTTTTTAAAAAAACCAGGCCAAAACGACGCCGTTTTGGACCTGGTATAAAAAAATTTAAAAAGCTAAATCAAAACGGCGCCGTTTTGATGTTGAATTTAAAAAAAAAATATTATAATGGGGTGGGGGATCCGCGTGTCACCCCAATCAAACCCTAAATTTCTTTTTCTGTCTGTACCCCCCCCCCCCCCCCCCAACCCCCCAACCCACACACACCATCCACTGCCTTTACTCTTTTCTATCCTTTTGTTTTGTCTTCTTCATCAATTATCTTTTTCTGTCTGTACTCTCCCCCCCACCACACACCATCCACACTACCTTTACTCTTTTCTATCCTTTTCTTCTGTCTTCTTCATCAATTATCAACACACAGAGAGCGGGCCACCATCCATCTCAGCCAAATTTGCTCCTCAAACTCCAGCAGCCAAGCCAAAGCCACAAAGTCCTCTTTAATTTCTGTTCTCTCCTATGAGATTGAGCCGGCTCCAATCACTATTTAAAGGTAAATTTTTTAATTTTTAAATGCATAATCCCTACCTTAATTATGTGAATCAAATGATATGGTTATAACTTATAAGTTATTGATTATTCATGTCATGGTTATTTAATACAAATTATGAAATTATTTTTTAGGGTGAAATTATTTTTTAGGGTGAAATTATTGATATGAATTGTTGGGAATTAGAAGAATCATGTGTATGTATAATTGTACATATAGATAAATTGGCATGTCAAAAGTCATCTTTAACTAAACTTATTGGTAATAAGCCACATTTTGAATGAAATTATGAAATTATTTTTTAGGATGAAAATTAAAATTTGAATTCTTTGAATCTTGATGGATGATTAGTTGAATTGCTTAGTTGTATTTATATGAATATGATTAGTTAAATTACTTAGTTGTATTCATATGAATATGATTAGTTGAATTGCTTAGTTGTATTCATAGAGTCTAAGAATTTTTATTTCTTTTCATTTTACAGTTACGTAATGGAACGATACTATAAGAAACAGTGCTTAAATCCTCATTCAAACATTTTGGGTAGTCCTCCTCCTTCAAATATTCCGAGTAGTCCTCCTCCTCCTTCAAATATTCCGAGTAGTCCTCCTCCTCCTTCAAATATTCCAAGAAGTCCTCCTTCAAATATTCCAAGTAGGTCACAACAAAGTGAGGCCACTGAGTTGGATGAAATATTGGCTAATCTTTTTGCATCTTTTGACAAAGCAAAAATTGTTCGTTTAGCCAAACTTTATTCTCAAGATTTTGATCGTATGGACCTCATGAATCTTCCAATTCAACTTGACAATTACATTCATGATATGAAGATGCATAGTGAGTTTTCATCATTGAGAGGAATTAGTGATCTTGCACAAGAGTTAGTGAAGACCGAGAGGTCTGAAAGTTATATGTTAGTGTATAAACTTCTTACATTGGCTTTGGTGTTACCGGTTGCAACCGCTTCGGTGGAGAGAGCTTTTTCTGCTATGAAGATTGTGAAAACACCATTGCGTAACAAAATGGGAGATCAATGGTTGAGTGATAGCATGCTTGTTTACATTGAGAAAGATGTAATTGCTTTTATTGATAATGAGCCTATTATGCGACGTTTTCATGACATGAAACCTCGCCGGCAACAATTGTAATTTGTTTGTATTGATTAATTATGGAAGACATTACTATATAAAAAGATTTAGTTGTTGCCATTTTTCTTTAACCTTGCATTCTTTTAAGTTCGCCCCTCCCCTCGAGAAATCCTGGCTTCGCCACTGAAGATGGGTACAATGTTTTACATGAGCTTTTGCTCGAAAACCTTGATGCCCGCTGGGTTTCTCAGATTATATTTTAGAGAAAGCACATTTTATATTCAAAGCCAAGATTGACCTCCAGGACCATCATGCAAATGAACCAATTCCTCAATTCTAACCATGGAACCAAGCTTCTGGCAAGGATTTGCAATGTTAAACATGTATCCCTTTCAGCTCATCTTTTAAAGGTAGGTAAATCGGAACTTGTTTTTTTTACAATTGTAAGATGGAAATGGAAAGGGTAATTTGGATGAAGCGAAGGATGCTGCTGGATAGTCTGGATACATGTTCCATTGGTGATTTTGTGTAATGTGGAACAGTTATGGGGTGCGGCATTCATGCTGGCCGGTAGTTTTCAATCCCTTTAAAGTTAGATCGACTGAATGTGAAGGAATGAAAGAAATTAAGTAGCAATTAGGTTTGGTTGCGAAGGGTGGAAAAACTGAAATATCTCTATATCAGACAAACTGCAATTTCTGCTTGAAGCATCAAAGATTAATGCTATGCATTTCTTTTCTTTCGTCAAGCTTTGTTATGAATTTGATTGTGGTATGTGATATGCACTTCGTTGTCTATGCTTGCGAAATTGGATGCTGAATATGGAATAGTGCTCTTACTATATTTGATTGTTTTTCCTATTATATGATAATATATCAACTTTGTTTTTACTGGAAATGAGAACTTGTAATTTTTTTCTCCAGATGTTTCCTTTAAATGTTTAAGTTTATTTTGTAATCTTTCATATTTATGCAATCTCATCATTGATAAACAAAGACAGCTCAAAGGGAGGTGTAGCGTTCGAATTGAACGATTCTGATTATGACACGTGTCCCGTGAAGATTCATATTGTTCATAAAAAAGTACGAGGGGACCTGCTATCAAAGTGTTCTATGTATAAATAGATAACTATTGACCCCTCATCCCCTCAAAATTTCATCGCCGCACGAAACTGAAAACCCTAAGATTGAAAATTTGGGTCTTCTATCGACACTCACACCTCGATAAGACGAAGAATCAAAGTCTTCTATCAACACTCACACCTCGATAAGACGAAGAATCAAAGTTCTAAGGCACCTCTACAAGAGTGAAGGTGAGCAATCATTGAAACCCTTGGTTTGATTTTCAGAACTCCCTTAATTTGCATTTTCGTTTTATCAAATGAAATGTATGTTTGGAATATGATCTCCTTATTCAATGATCTGCTGAATAGACTCATATCAAACTGACCAAAAACCTATATAGAGAAAAGATTCATATTAGTCATTATTTATTTTAGTAGCAAGTGAATTTTAATAAGTGTGTATTGTTTTGTGCTTCACTCTCATACTTCAGATATTGTCTCACTAGCATTTTGACTTTCTTTCCATTAACATCTGTTTGGCTACCAAGTAAACTGTCAAAAACACTAGAGGAATAGTGAAATTTAAGTCTTACCCTTTCTATTGTTTATCTCTAGAGAATATGAAATATTTATTTTGTTCATTCTGTCTAGAATATAGTATCCGGAACAATTGTTCCAATATGATGAATATTTTCTTGGAAATATTTGTTTTCATTAAGAAATAGTAATTAGATATTTGTGAAGGCAATTATCATTAGAGGACATTATGGTTAAATGCAAAGTTATTGCCATTCATTTGTAAATACTCGATTTGAAATATTGAAATATGATATACTAAATTTTTTGCTCATTTACTTCTCCATTAGATTGTAAGTTACCATATGCACATTATAAATATGCTTATCTTTTTAAATTTTGACTAAAAGGTACAAATGGGTTCAATGCCAAAGCCTCAAGAGAGAGTCAGTGATAGGATAAGTGCACTACCAAATGAGGTTCTTTGCCACATACTTTCGTTTCTTCCAACGAAGTATGTTGTTAGGACCACTGTTTTGTCTAAGAAATGGAACAACATATGGACTTCCGTTCCTAATCTGTACTTTTGTGACGATGACTACCCTAATGTTAATGCGTTTATATCATTTGTGGATCATGTACTTGACTCTCCTGACTTATCACGCATCGATGTGACCATGACTACTTCGAACCCCCACCTATTGATCGTTGGATTCACAGTGCAATTAGACGGAAGGTTGTTGAACTTGATCTTTGTGTTTCTCACTTAGATCCAGACGACAATTTGGAATTGCCTCAAACAAATTTCATGTGCGAAACACTAGAAGTTTTGAAGCTGCAGTTTCATTTTATTGCTCATCCTCTTACATCAAGGTGTTTTCCAAATCTCAAGTTCCTCTATGTTCTAATTCATCATCCTGATATTGAATCAGTGAAAAATGTTTTATCTTACCTCCCTGTACTGGAAGGTTTGAGAATTGGGGGATCTCTTGACGATTATGATGTTGAAAGTCTGGATATCAACATCTCTGCACCGGCACTGAAGACGTTAGCTATATGTTTGGAGTTTGACGATTTTGATGAGGAGTTCAAGATTTGTATTGAAGCTCCGAAACTTGAATCCCTTGATGTCCAGCTACTTACCAGTTTGTTAAATTTTTCTTTGTTGATCAAGGAAAATCTCATAGTCAAGGCCAATGTGGATCTCTCATACACAGAAATGCCTAATAGTGATATTGCAGACGTGGAAGATATTCTCTTATATGCAGAAGAGCCTGATCGCGCAATAGCACTTCTGAGAAATGTCTCCAATGTCAAGTACCTGTCTCTTTCATCTCATAGTTTGGAAGTAAGTTCTTTACTGTTTAAGATACAAAAACGCGTAAATAAATGTTCAGTTTCTAAATGAGTTTCTCTTTGATCATTACTTGAACTTATTTTCATGTAGGGTGATTGGCCTGCATTTGACAATTTGAACCAACTGAAGCTGGTTTTTTACAATTGCGGTTATTGGAGATTTCTGACAAATTTACTCGAGAGATCACCTAATCTAGAATATCTCGTCTTTGAACACAAAGTAAGACATAATTCAACTTATGCTACTGTTTACCATCATAGACCAGTCTTTCGGATTCTCATGATTTATTTATGTTACATGCATTTTAGGATTGTACCATATGCAATGTAGAAGACTTCAGGCATGAATTTATTCCACCAGAAGTTGTGCCTATTTCTTTGTCGTCGCAGCTCAAGACTATTAGTATAAACAGATTCAAGGGAAGGCGTGGTGAGATGGAATTGGTAAAGTACTTGTTAAAGAATGGCGGAGTACTAAATAAGATGACCATTGACGCTTCAGGGAATACAAATCTTCCACATGCACGTACGAAGGCGTTATCAAAGGAAGTTTCACTGTTTCAAAGGGGTTCAAAGACCTGTCAAGTTGAAATTCGATTTGGGATTTCATAATGGAATCATTTTCAGGCGCATTTCAATAGTTTGGAAGGAACATTGTTCCAAAGAAATTACTGGATCGTGCACACAATTGTTCCTCAAGAGATCACCTTTTTTGGGCGTTGCCTCAAAGATTTACAAACAATTTAAGTAATCAGTACCGATTAGTCAGTTTGTAGTCGTTGTTTTGTACTTTCTGTGTCATCGTTTTGAACAAGTTTTGCTTAATTAATCAGTCAGTTTATGAACATTATTTAAGTTTTAATATATCTGGTTTTCTAAAAAAATCACTACTTTAGTATATCAAAAGATGTGCTAGCATAAGTAAACGGCTTGGAACTCAATTTAGTTAAGAGCATTCACCTTTATACAAATGTTCGGGGTCAACTTTCCATTGCCAGTGTTGCTTGTATTAAACAAAGAAAAAATTTATTAGAGAAATTAGGTTTTCATCCCTCTTTTTTCAACTCCATTGATTGAAACCTTATTCCTTTTTAATTTTTAATCAAGGTCCTTGGTTTTAATAAAAATAATTAATTATTTCAATAATAAAATATTTTACATATCAAGATAATTAAATTTTATTTATAAATTATTCATTTAGTGTTAGAAACGTTACATTTGATATATTTATATTTATGGTTAAATTTTGTATCATATATTTTTATTTTTATTTTGTACCCATTTTAATTTGCAACCTTTTTTTTATATTGTGCCAATTTTCTATTCAGTTTTAGTTTGTACCCATATATTAATTTCTTTTTGTGTCCATATTTTTCAAACTTTTATTTGTACTCATATTTTTGACCTTTTATTTGTACCCATAATTTATTAATAATTTACCCATTTGTCTTAAAATAATGTACCACTTTGTTATATGTAAAATGTACCCATTTTTTTTCTTTTTTGTAAGTACCATCTCTTTTTTGTGTAAAATGTACCCATTGTTTTTTTTATATGAAATGTACCCATTATATAAAACGTATCACCTTTATTTTGTATAAAATGTACCAACTTTTTGTATGTAAAATGTATCGTAAAAATTACCAATTTTTTGTATGTAAAATGTCATTAATACAAGTAATGACAAATCATTGGTTTTATTTAAGTATATTTTTTTATAAATATTTTCAACAAATTATGGATTTTATTTAAAATCTCATTAATATAAATGTAGCATCCCACATCGCCCAGGGAGTGAATCCTCTAAGTCTTATATGTATATTCTCATCTCTACCTAGCACGAGACGTTTTGGAAGTTCACTGGCTTCAGATTCCATAGGAACTTCAAAGTTAAACGAGTTCGCGCGAGAGCAATCTCAAGATGGGTGACCCACTGGGAAGTTCTCGTGTGAGTCCCAGAAATAAAACTGTGAGAGCGTGGTCGGGGCCCAAAACGGACAATATCGTGCTACGGTAGACTCGAGTCCGGGATGTGACAATAAATAACTACAAATATCAAATTTTAATTTAAAAATTATAATAACCTACATAGAAATGTATTATTGCATTAATTTCAGGGACTTCAATAAAAAATCGAAAACCAACAAGGTTTCAATAAAAAAATGTTGCTAAATAGGGACCGCATCCAAAGTTACCCATTTTATTTTGCTAGTGTTATTCCAAGTGATAACTGTGGTTGCGACCAGACAATGTTTTCTAAAATCCATCAGGTTAAAAATGGTTTCGGAGTTAAGAATCAAGCAAGATTCATGTTGTCATGTTCCCCATTTGTAGAGAGGAAGGGGGAAGTGGTGAAAAATACATCTAGGATCATAGTTTTTAATCCCTTCATAGCTGGACAGATTGAAAGAAACGAAAGCGTGGAAGACGCTGGTTCTTCACAGCTGTTGTTTATTACTTCATCTTTCTTGAATGGTTGTTCTCTACCTGCTTTTGATAATTTGAGCAAATCGACACTGGTTCTTCACAGTTGTTGTTACGGGTGGGAAATGCTAATAGAGTTGCTCAGGGGATCACCTGCTCAGAGTTTCCATGGTATGCACTGGATTTTGTTCCATTTGTTTATCGTCATAAATCAAAACTATCTCCATGAGGGCACTCCAGGGAAATCCAGATGAGATTGAAGTAGCAAGGTTTTTGTTAATGAATGGTGAAGTCTTGCAGAAGATGACTATTTTATACTGCTGATCTTTTGATTAGGAAGGAGGACTTATATGATAATTTCTCAATGTTCGAAATGGCTTCAAAGACTTGTGATTTGTGAAGTGGAATTCATCGAGATGTAGGAGGATTTTACTTTTGGAATCTAATTCTAGGTTTAAAATCGGTTTAGGTGGTTTGGACACGTGAACCGAATACTTATTTATGATTCAGTTAGATGATGCAACTATAAGATGGAGGCTCAGGGCAAAAAGGAGCAGAGAAAGTCTAATAATACTTAGGTCCCATTTGGTATTGCTTTCTTTTCACCAGAAACTACTTCCCTTTAAAGTTAAGTAGTAAACAAATGTTTGGTAAACGTAAAATATCCGACTTATTTTACAAGCAATGACCTCTAAATAACAGTTTTTAAAAGTAGCATGTATGTTGCTTTTAAAAATTGCTTAATAAAAAGCTAAGTTGAGCCACTATAAATATTTTCAATTACTGTAATACCGTCATAACTTTTTTGAAAATGACATATTTAGCCTTTCACACACATTTTATCTCTTAGGGCGTGTTTGATTGGCTTCTCTAAGTTTCACCGGATTGGCTAGGATACTTAGACCGTGTTTGGTGCAGGCATGGATTATGTTTAATGAGACTAAGCCAAACTCGGTGCAAGCATGGATTATGTTTAATGAGACTAAGCCGAACTCGCTGGGATTAAACGCTTTGCTAAGGGGCCTTAGCGAGACCCCCCGAAAAGGAGAAGATTGTTAATATCGTCTCCTACACTTGCTTTGCTTCATCTTAGGCTTTTCTAGGACTCCAGTATGCTTCTCATTGTCCTTGTAGCCGTCCGACGATCGATGACGGACCTGCATCGTCGTCGAAACTCAAATCCCCAAAATACGAGATATTTGAAAGAACGCTGCTAGAGGAGCGTTGATGTAAGCACAACGACAGCGCTGCAAGAACAAACCACCACTTCAACAAGGTCAGACGCAAAATAGAACGAATCTAGGTCAACCAAGCTCGCCCATTTGAGATTCCACGCCCACCGAACAAAAACCTAAAATACCAAGCTCGATTCTTCATTTTGCAGAAACAATATTTGTCAATTAATCAGAAAAATAAGGAAGGGAAGGAGAGCGTGGGACGGAGAGAACGAGGGAGATAAAAGGGAGAAAAATATAGACTGATGGAGGCTTCCTGAAGCTAGTCCAATTTGAGATAAAAAGGTATAATATAATATTATTAGATATGAATTAAAAAATATAATATTGTAGTTTGGTATTATCCTTCTTTTTAGTTCGACACTGCACCAAACGTTTCACTAAGTTAGTCTAGCTTAGTGTAGTCTAAGCCAGTCTAGCTTAGTCCCTGAAGCTAGTCCAATCTGAGATAGTCCGGTGCAACAAACGCACCCTTAGAGAATAAAGTGATTGCTATCGCTTACCACCACCATTAATGTTGCCACAACCACCACCATAACCATAACCTCCACCAATGTGACCACAACCACAACCCTCAACTACCACCATTGTCACCACTGCCGCCTCCACCACCGTTGCCACCACCACCATAACCAAAACCGCCACCACTACCATCGCAACCACAACCACAACCGCCAATACCACCACTATAACTGCAACCGCCATCATTGCCACCACAACCACAACCGCAATCACTAGTGCTACAACCATCCCTACCACCATTGTTACCTCTGCACTCAAACCACCACATCCCACTATTAGCATCACCACCATACCTACCATTTGTTGCTACTATCACTATTACTGCAACCACCACCACCACTATTACCACCACCATCCCCGCCGATGTTGTCGTCACCTCCACTACTACTATGTCCATTTTGTCATTATATACAATTATATCACTTTTACCTTGCAATTTACTAAACACTTTTATACTGTTTTTCAAACTCACAGTACTTTTAAAATACAGTTAACCAAATGCTAATATACTTTACTTTGCAGCTGATTATTTTTAAAACACATCAAAAGCAGTTTTTTTTGAAAAAAACATAGTAATCCTAAACTGTCCCTTATAAAGGGACTTTAAGAAAAGATGTGAATTACTTAAAAAAGATGTGGAATACTTTTGTTAGTACACATTTGTTTTCTCTTATGCACATATTTTAATCACATTCGTAAATTATTCTTTAATATATACGTAGCATTTAATGATAAGAAAAATAAATGATTGAAATTAAAAATAAAATATTTAAATATTTGTGGAAATCAAATTTAGCATTCGTTGTTATCATTTAAAGTGTAGGATTGTACATTTAATGACACGAGACACGAATGACTAAAATTGAAAATAAAATATCTAAATATTTGTGGAATCAAATCTAACATTCGTTGTTATCATTTAATGTGTGCGACTATATGTTTAATGATACGGATAATAAATGACTAAAATCGAAAATAAAATATCAAAATATTTGTGGAAATCAAATCTAATGTTTGTTGTTATCATTTAAATTGTGCGATACGGAGAACAAGTGACTAAAATTGAAGGTAAAATATCTAAGTATTTGTAGAAATCAAAGGTTCGTTCTTATCATTTAAAGTGTGAGGCTGTATATTTGACGACACGAGAAATGAATGACTAAAATTGAAAATAAAATATCTGAGTATTTATGGAATGAAATCTAACGTTGGTTGTTATTATTTAAAGTATTCAACTATGTAAGGGAAACAAATGACTAAAATTGAAAGTCAAATATTTAAGTATTTGTAGAAATCAAATTTAACGTTCATTGTTATCGTGTGCGAGTGTGTGTGGTTATCATATTTATTTCAAAATTAAGCTAAAAAAAACCTTCGAAAAAAAAGGACAAGGGAGTATTTATATAATTTTTGGTCTGAAAAATGAGCCAAAGCTGCCAGCTGAGTAAAATTGGCAGCGTAACGCAGAGAGAATGAGTGAGAGAATCCGGTAGAAGAGAGCAAGCACGCCATCGTGATTTTCGATGAGGAAGAGAGCACCGCGAAGAACCCAAAAGCCAGAAGAAGAATTGCAGACCCGAAACCTCCACCCAATCTCTTCGTCTTCAGCTCCAATTCTTCCTCCTGGCTCCGTAAGCTCTCGTTTTCTCATCTGGGTTCTCTCTCACTCCTCTTGTGCTGCGACTTTCCGCGAAAAATATTGAAACTTTGGTTGCAGGCACGCGAGGAGCAGCGGCGGCGGTAACATGTGCCGGCAGGAGGAGCGGGTGCGGATGTCGTCGGAGGAAGAAATTGCGGCGGAGGAGAGCCTCTCTGTCTATTGCAAGCCTGTCGAGTTCTACAACATTCTCCAACGCCGCGCTATTAGAAATGTACTACTTTTTTTCGGATTGTTTAGCCTAATTATCTGCATATATGTGACAATGAAATTGAAGATTTATACTTTGGTTGCCAATTTGTAATGGGTTTGTGTGCATTTTTCGAATGTAGCCAGCGTTTCTTCAGAGATGTTTGAGCTACAAAATAGAAGCCAAACACAAAAGGAGGTAATGACAGCAATAAAATTTTAACTTTTGTTCTGTACAATGTGTGTGCTAGTTTTTTTTTTTCCTGACTGGGTTTGAAATTTAGGATACAAATGACGGTTTCCATTTCGATGAATGAGATGGAAGGTCTACAAACCCAGAATCTCTTTCCTTTGTATGTGTTTTTAGCCAGACTAGTTCCTGATGTTGCGGTTCCAGAGGTATGTATATGCATGTTTTTAGTTTTAGAATTGTTGATCAACGTGTTGCTTTGTTGTGGTTTCATCTACATGTATCTGATAAGAGTTCTGTCTTGGAATGTATAAACAAGTATTCTGCTACATATCGATTCAGTCGAGCTTGCATGTTAAGTAATTCCACTGGGGTTGATGGGAGTAGTCAACTGCAAGCAAATTTTATTCTGCCCGACATTAATAAGCTAACATTGGAGGCTAAATCTGGCTCCCTTGCAATCTTGCTCGTCAGCTTTGGTACGTTGTGAAATTTTGTTGGTATGGAAGCCTTTTTTATGTGGAATGTCATCGAACTGTTTGGGCTCATATATTAGTTCATTGTAGTGGGAGCTCAAAACCCATTTCGTGGAATCAATTTATCCAAGGGTCCTGTGGATATGTCTTTTTTCCCTTGTAAGTTATAGCTTTACTTGCAAAGTTCTATCACATGTTTGAATTTTGATGTCATTTTGATATGTTCTTTAACAGATTAAAATTTAAAACTGTGACAGGTCTGACATAATTGTGCAATTTGGATTTCTTTAGTAAGCTTTAAGTTCTACATGATGCAGGCACATTAGCATATGTAGAGACCAGATGTTTAACTATATGACCCATTTGCAAGTCCCTAAAGTTTTAATTTCTGATATATTTTATCAACTTTAAAAATAAGATAGGACGAGTATACTTTGGCCTCGTTTGATAGGGAGGACTAACTTGGATAGTACTATTCACTACATTGAAGGCATTTTGAGGAAGAAATGGATGAGATCTTCCATATTTTGTCCAAGTTGAAGGTTACTCATGAAGAAAAGATATCCCTACTAGTCCCCACAAAAATGGTAGGATTAAAAGGGACAACTTTTCTTGACAAAATAGGGAAGTTGTCATCCATTTCTCCCTTCAAAATGCCTTCAATATAGTAAATAGTCCTATCCAAGCTAATCCTCTCTATCAAATGAGGCCTTTATGTCATGCCCTTGTCTCTTCACACCAATATATGTGGAGTGAAAGATGAAGCATTCTTTGTTACTTGTAATATTAAGAATTATTTTACCAAGTTTAATCTTCTTTCTTACGGGATTGGTTGCCCAAATCAGTTTTTTTTTTATTTTATTTTTATTTTATTTTTTCTAAATTCACCATCAATTTTGCTTGACAGCAAATGCAGGAGGATATTGTCTATGGAGCAAGATACCACTTGAATTACTTTATATCTCTTGGGAGAATTCTCCTAATTTTGGTTTGGGACAGAGAGCTGAGATGATTTCAACGATTGACATGCGCTCTTGCTTCTTGAAGGTATGGCATCAGTACCCTGACTATTGATTAACTATTTGCAATTTTTCTTGACTAAGAGTTCCTGGTTAACAATGTGCTAAACCTTTTGACATTTTAGCTGTCAAAATACTTTTTTTTTCTTTTTCTAATCTCTTGTTTGTGACTGGACCCGTATAAATTGTAGACCTCCTGTTTTCCACTCTCAGTTGATATAGTTTTTTCCCTTGTGCAGTTGAGCTGTTTAAATGAGGACAAGTGCCTTATGATTGCAACTCCCCATAATCCCGAAACTGTTGTATGTTTTTTTTTGGTGTTTTCTTCTTAGATCAATAATTTGAATCTCACCTCTCTCTCTCTCTAGGCACGGAAAATACATGTACGTGTATTCAACATTCTTTTCTTGGCAACTGTTGCTGATGAATATCTGTTACTTTTGGTTGTTTGGGCCTTTCAAAGGTCATTTCTCAGCTAGTGCAGGTCACCATTTCTGCAGAGGAGTATGGTGCGAGGGAAAAATCTCCTTATAATAGTACATACATATGTAGTGACATTCCTTCTTCATCATTGCCTCATATCATTCGGTAATTATCATCTCTCATCAAGTAAATTTGTCTATTCAGTCATTCTGTTTATTTCTTCCTACTTTTTGCTTCCCTGAAATTGTTGTTATTGGATACTGTTTTGTTTGATCATTAATAAACTTAGTTTTTGGGTCTCTACTTTTATTTCATAATTTTCTTGTTTCAGTCTAAATTGAAATAGTTGATCATTAGTCTCTTGGTATTTTCCCATAAGAATAAACTCTATGAACTTAATTTGGATATACTCCCAAAAAACTTCGTATGCTTCACTTTCTTGCATGCAAATGGGTGATTTGTGGTGCTATTCATCGAGAGTAAATCCCTTCGATCTTAGCAGATTGTTCAAGTGGATTTTATTTTTGGATCAGTATGTATATGTCTGTGTTTGAGCTCTTGGGGATATGCTTAAATATTTGTGACTTGTCTTGTCCAGGTTAAGGGCAGGAAATGTGATTTTTAATTATAGATACTACAACAATACATTGCAAAGGACAGAAGGTACTAATGATTTCCTATAATTCTTGGCAACTTCTAAATGGTATTTTCGTTATGGGACAAGTTGGCATCTTAAAGTTAAAATATGAAAATTGGTAATTTTATTCCATACTTGCATTTCCTTTTCGATAAAAAATGAAAAAAAATATTTTTGTATTTCAATTAATACGTTTTTTCTTTTCCTCTTCCTCACATTCTTTAACCAATGAAGATATTTTTGCATACCAATGACTACACATTCTGTTGTTTGTGAAATAATCGTTTGTTCATCTTGCAGTAACTGAAGACTTTTCTTGTCCATTTTGCTTGGTTAGGTGTGCAAGCTTCAAGGTGCAACTTTCTGCTCAAAATCTGTGTTATTGTATTGTGATAACAAATTACTTCACAGCCCAACAACTTAAGCTTTTAGGATCCATACATAGAATTGATCCTAATAGCTTAAGATTATGGGAAAAGTAGGAGTATAGCAATCTTAAAATGAACCAGTAGCTAGTGAATTTATGACTGATGCTCAGAATCTATTCAATATTTTTTGTAGGGTCTGAGACATCATTTGTTCTCATCACATGATCTCTTCAACTTTGAATTTTGGGTTAGTATTCTGTGAGAATCTTAGTGGGATTATATTCATTGAATTAGGGTAGACCAATGGCTACTAAACTGATAAGTATTTATAGGTAACTGAAGAGTATCAAGCTGTAAATGTGTCTGTGAAAACTAATAATTGGAGATCAGAGGTATGTATTGTTTTATTATCATTTTACGTCTTTTTTGCATGATAGAGCAAAAGTACCATTTCTCAGCGATCAAGTTCTGTATTAAGTATTAGCAACCATATCTCATAGCCATTCAGAAAAATTGATATTTACACTGTATATATCGTTACCTGAGGAATTATGCAAATTCCATAAAAGTTAGCTGTCCCGATCATTAGTTTCTCCTATGTTAAATTGGAATTAGATTAGGACATATTTCATCGTGATATAATTTTTCTAGTTTCTTCGGATATACATGTTGAAATAGTAAAGATGATGTTGGCTGCCGAAGATGACGGATGAAACGACCACTAGGCCAATTTAGGAATTGTAGTTAACTTCGAGAATATATTTTTTCTACACAAACGGATGGTAGTGGTACAAAAGAAAAAGCATACACAAATCCCTGATAACTAGCTGCAGAAATTAGTTCTTATTTTTTTCTTTTCAGATTGTTGCTGGTGGTGTTGATCCTAAGTTACAAGCATTCTCCTTTTGGTAAGTTTTCTCTTCTTTCTTGGGCCATAGTTGTGCCTAATAATTTCTTTAACCTTGTGTCATTTTATTGAGATATACGAATGCCTTAAACTGAAAGGAGTAAGCTCATACATTTTCCAGCTCAAAGCCACTTAGACGCAGAAGACCCAAGGGCCTATATCAAAATGCAAAGCACGTGCATCCTCATGTATTAGAGTCTGAGTTGCCTGCAGGACTCTGTGAGCTTCTGGACAAGGCTGATGGTACATGTTCTTTTCTCATGTTCACATAAACTATCTGAATTGACTATATGATCTATTACTTTTAAATTTTGAGAAAGTATAAGGTGCTGAAGCTCCGGTTTTCCCCCCTTATATGTATTTTTCAATATTATATTTTGGGTGGGTGTTTGTTGTTTTAAAATCAGTGGAGGCAAGACAAACAAAAATGACCAAAAAGATGGAACAAATCAGGCTTTTTTGAACTGTGTCAAAGATTCAAACTGTCTTTTAGCTAAGAATTCTTTCCTCTGGAATTATATGGAAAAGATATATCTTAGTAATGGAGAAAACTTGACATGAATAAGTAAATTGTGTATTAATTCCTTGCAAAATAAGTGTCTGGTCAAAAAATTATGGATCAACCAATCCTCTTGCGTGTCTTGATCTAGTTGATTGGATTATTGTTAGGAACCCAAAGTGTTCCTGACATAGTGAATCTGAAATATCCTGCAATATGAAATTTCAAGCTCCAGACTGCAGATGAAATATCATTGATCTCCTGGAGACCTATGTAGTAACCTCCTTCAGGTGCCTACTAAGCATCCCGCAAATATATTTTTCTACGAAAATTTACTTAAATTACCCCTGAATAATTGAGCAATGTTTCTATTAGACTTGCTTTGGAGCAAAATGATTTTGCGACAAATAGCTACCCTTGTTTAGGATCCTATTAGAAATGACCCTGCGAGATGTTCTAACACATCTAGTTAACTTTTTTTATTTTTACTTTGAGCTGAACGTATTGAGTTAACCCATTGCATTGTGTATTTTTTTTCTTTACCTGATGTCTGAAAAGAATTTTGTAGTCTATTATTCTTTGAGGCAGATTGAACTAATATCTCTTAATGCGTTCCTTTTCCGGATATTGTCGTCAAACACTCAAATTCTTTGCTCAGATGCTCATTCTAGTAGAGGTGATAAGGCTAGAATATCTGGTAGGAGTAATTTGCTGAATGTTACGGATGGTGTTGCTGTCTCTGCAATTTGTTTCATCCAGCTTTTTACTGTTGCAGGGGTTTCAAGCTCCACGCCACAGTCATATGGTGATCCTGGTTGTGTTCAATCAGTATCGGGAAACAATTTTGCAACTCCTGCAATGCTTGTGTTTGCAAAGACAAGAAAGTTATCTGTTGAGCGCCCAGACCCTAGAAAGTATCTTTCTCTCTCTCTCATGAAATAATGCAGTGTAATTACTTATGGGTGGATCTGTCTCATCAAAGTCAAATGTATGAGGTTTTACCTGGTATTCAGCTCCCAATCTAAGGCTTCACATGTGCTTCGATCCATCATATGTTTATAATAAAAAAGATACATGTATGTTGCTTGGATGCATGGCTACTCATTCTTACTTTATCATGTGAACTCAATAAAACTAACAAAATTCAGGTAGCGCTGTCCAACAACCAGCTGAATCTGAACCATTTGAAGCAACTGACTTAAACTGACCTGAACTGGTTATTTGCTTCGGTTCAGTTCCTATTTTCCTGAAACCAAAAGGACTGGTTCAACAAAACTTGTTAAAACAACTTTTAGGATGTGTATAGCTCTGTTGAGCTTGTGCATGCACGTGAATTCACCTTAATAGATGGATGCTAACCGTTGCTCCCAAGCCGCTCTGATGTTAACTTGTCAAATCTACACACACACACACGCATGCACGCACACCCTCAGAACTGATCATGTGTGGACAGGCTGTGTTTCACTTGCCAATTGATTAGCATTTTTTATGCCTAGTTTTCAATTCTGTTAAATGTGGTTTTTAAGCAAATGCTGTGGTATTTTTCATAGATCCTTTTGCATGTCGATTATTAATCTTGCATGTAGCCACATATGAATAAGGTTTTTATCTAGAAGTTTTCTCTATATTTTCAGCTGTGCCCTCCTGCGGAAGCGAAAGTTCTTTCACTCACATAGGGCCCAGGTGAGAGAACAACTCATGTGATGAATGTATCACCCAATACCATTTAAGCTTTATTCTGGAGTGAAATTTTCAGTTATCATTAATTATGAAGTAGTCATATATGGAAGCCATTGTGAATTTGCCAATTTTTCTTTCCATGGTGTATGAATGAGAGTCCAGTCTGATTTTATGGCCTGACACACCATAGTATTATTTCTTTTCTTCAGCACGTATTCTTAACAGCGTCACAGTAAATTATTCTTTCCCTTAGTACTTGCACTTGTATCATAAGTCTGTAACTACTATGGTATGCTATATACTCGTATAATCATAAGTCTGTAACAGTTTCTATATTAGCCAGCTTGCTCAGTTGCTAGCTCCAGAGGCCAACAGGTGTCACTAGTTTAGTTTCTCATTGGCTCATATATTTAAATGATACTATTGCTTAGAATATGCGGCACTGTATTTCTAATTATTATTTTTATGCTTGAAGCCGATGATGTTGGAACAAGTTTTGTCAGATCAGGATAGTGAGGATGAGGTTGATGATGATGTTGCTGATCTTGAAGATCGAAGGGTATAAAACTAAACCTCCTCTCTGATGCAAGAGCATATGTTTCTTAGGCAACTACTTTTCGGTCAGACATGACCTTTATTAATGTCCGATCGAGCCATCGAGGAAAAGATTTTCGTGCCATCTGGACTTGTTTTAAGTTCTTTGTATTCCCGTGCACCGATGGATCTGCGTTGAACATATGGGAGCTTATTTGAAAATATGTTAGCACCACTTTATATTGACGTGGCATCCAGCAAATGAATGAGTGATATTTTACTCTATTGTAGATGCTTGATGATTTCGTTGATGTGACTAAAGATGAGAAGAAAATGATGCATATGTGGAACTCCTTCGTGAGGAAGCAACAGTAATTTCTCTACACTTCTCAATTCTTTCAATTACAACTGTTGGACTTGGATATCAAGGGGCACTCTTGGTAGGGCTCTTCATTTGCACTAATAATGCTCAGTGATGGACAAGCACTGGACCAAAGAAAAAGGGACAAGTTCATTTTCGTATGTGGAAGAACATTATTTTTCTCTCGATTCTTTATGACATATTTTGTGTAATGTTGGCAGGGTATTGGCTGATGGTCATATTCCTTGGGGGTGCGAGGCATTTTCGAGGTTGCACGGGCAAGATCTTGTCAAATCCCCTGCTCTGATATGGTAATAATTGCACTCATTTGATCCTTAGTTCCTTCGAAATTATTGCATCTAGTCATTTACAACCCCCTTTAGCTAATTTTTCTAATCCATTCCTAACAAATTAAAACCTAAGTTTCATGAACTTAAAAGTCCCTCATTCAAACGTACCACTAAAGACTATATGTACAGTGGCGTTCACATAAGGACCTAGTTTAAGTATTTAACTATTTTCACTCTTTGCCCTCAAGATTTTTTTGGTCAGACCCTTTCTTTGGTCTTAAGTTTAAGGACTTCACCTTCAGTATTGAACAGTGTCTGTATAAAGTGATTTTGTCTTTGCATCATTCCTGCCCCTATCCAGCCCCTATCCAGCGAAAGCCATCCGGAATGCATCTAGTATCATCTGACAATAAGATAATTTGTCTTCTCACGCACTGGATGCTTTACGTATTGCCTTGGAGGAAAATGTAGCATTATCATGATGTGCTTTTGATTAGAATTTCTGAATCTCAAACAACGACTCACTTTGGCAGGTGTTGGAGATTATTTATGCTCAAATTGTGGAATCACGGTCTCCTTGACGCACTGACCATGAACAGCTGTAACATAATTCTTGAACAATGTCAAAGCCCGGCCTCGGAACCCCAAAGTTGAACGAGATTATTTTGTTGCCGCCATTTTGTATTATGTTTGCTTATTTCATAGTTGGGCTGAAAGATTTTTCCATGCCTATTGCCTTTGTTGTAATGAGCTGTGCGATTTTCCAGATGAATGTAGGAACTGTACTATATGTATCCATGTATCCTAACATGAGAGAAAACACAGCAAAGATATTCCAATAAATGTCTTAAAAAATTTTAAGTTCTTTCTTAACGGTGATTTAGTGTTCAGGTTATGTTTTAGTTACCTTTTATTTCAAATAATTTATTCATGCTATATGAATAAAACTAACTAAATTGATAATAACCAGGAATAATTGCAATTTGAGTCTATGCATAATAGAAAGATAAAGAGTACCAATTTTGGTGCAGACTTAGGTTTAGTCAAGTTGGTTAGAGGAGTTTGTTCTCTTTCTTTACATTCAAAGTTCGAGTCTTTATTTTTGTAGTATAAACGAATTGTGTAGAATATTTTTTAAAAAGTGTGTCCTTTCTAGGGGGGAACCTATTTGTCCCTCCATTTGAGATTAACGTATCTTTATTGTACAAACATCATATTCGAATTGTTCTTTTTTTTTTTTTTTTAATCATCATCATCTAAAGATCATCATTGCACAAAATTATTTAATTTGGAGATTATTAGCCATCCTTGCATGTGAAAATCAATTGACGACTTTGATATAAAGCCGTATCATCATATTAAATTGCACATTTGTTGATGCATATGAATTATTTGGAGAAATTTTTCAATGTATCCGGATCACCACCATGCGATGTTGCGATTTCACTAATTAAAATTATAGCACGTGTGTTTATTTACTTTTTATTAATATACACTAAAATTGAGACAACAATTTTATCCTTATCCATGTTATAAAAAAATTTCGGTTATTAACGCATCATTATGATGTGCTAACCATTAAATTTGTCCTAAGTCACGGAGATTTTTAGTAGATCGGAAAGACAACCTGATACACTTATAAGTGTCTTAATCCTATTGGTTGGTGGTTTTTTTTATTTTACTTTTTTATTTATTTTTTAACTTTTCAATCAATTGAATTATTACACTTAATATTATCGGTCGTGTACCCAGCACACTGGAAAAACATATACCTGCAAATGCCACCTGGATCCCTACACCTCCATGCAAACTGACACGAAGCCATCCTCTTACGTACAACACCACCGTTTTACATGTGGATCAAGACTGGATATAAGGTGCTTACAGGGAACAAGCATTTTCCACACCATTCAAACAAGTTCCTCATCACCAAAACTCCATCTCTCTCTTTACTTCCCCTCTCTTTCTCGCTACAGGTTAATGGAAGCCTCACTGGGCAGTGTTGCCCTAACTGTTGTTTTGGTTAGCATTGTAGCATGGGCATGGAGTTTGCTGAATTGGGTGTGGTTCAGGCCAAAGAAATTGGAAAGATACCTGAGGCAACAAGGCTTGGGGGGCAACTCCTACAGACTTTTGTTTGGAGACTTGAAAGAAAGCTCCATGATGCACAAACAAGCAAGATCCAAACCCATGGAATTTTTGATCGGCGGGTCCACCCTACTCTAACGACACTGATATTATCAATGTCCCCAACTTAACCACATACCCAATCCGTCAGGTGTGAGGTTTTATCACAAAATATCTCTGTATTAGTTAGAGTGGGTAATACCATTTAAACCCCTTGGGTTTTCTTCACCCCACCGATGTGGGACAGTTTAACATGTATGTATGTATGTATACTAATTAGTATTGTGAACTCTCACGGTATGCCAAATATTTGATTACATTCATATCACCATGCATGTGTAGAACTCTTATAAGTTAAACATGACGTGGATTAGTTAATTAAACAAAAACTAAAATTTGCAGGTCAGAATTCTTTTATTTGGATGGGGCCCACCCTGAGGGTGAACATTTTGAATCCAGAAGATTTGAGAGATGTCTTAAACAGATACGATGATTTTCGGAAGCCACTTAGTAATCCAATTACAAGGGTACTTTCACAGGGACTCGTAAATATTGATGGTGAGAAATGGACGAAACACAGAAGATTATCAACCCAGCATTCCATATAGAGAAGCTAAAGGTATTGTACTGTATATTTCCAACATGCATTCAAGTTTCTTGAGCTTTCGTTTTCTTCTGTTCCTTTTTTGCATGAACAATTCCCGGAGATCTAATTAACAATTGTGTGTATTTTATAAGTAACTAGCCTCCCTGTCGTTTTTCATTGTTCATATACTCCACCAGCACTATGAACAATTCTTGAAGATCTATATATATTGGTGATAAAGTGATAATTAATAATTTTTCTCATATTGCAGGTTATGGTACCGACATTTTACCAAAGTTGTAGCGAGATGATTGACACATGGGAGAACTTGGTCGCCAACGAGGGTTTATATGAGTTGGATGTGTGGCCTTGGCTTCAGAGTTTGGCAGGCGATGTGATTTCTCGATCTGCATTTGGAAGTAGCTATGAAGAGGGAAAGAAAATATTCGAACTGCTGAAAGAGCATGCGAGAATTGGTGCAACACTTCTAAGAAGAAGCTTAACAAGTGTCTATATCCCAGGATGGAGGTAAAATTTAACTTTTTTTATTGGAAAAAGAAAAAAAAATTACTACTAATGTAACAAGTTCAACATTTGTGCAGGTTTCTACCATCAAAAATGAACAAGAGGATGAAGGAAATTAATAAAGAGATAAGAGTGTTAATCATGGATATTATAAACAAAAGAGAGGGGACGATTAAGGCAGGTGACAATATTAATAAAGATGATTTATTGGGTGTGCTTTTGGAATCCAACTCCAAGGAAATTAAAGAACATGGGAACAACAAAAACGTTGGAATGAGTATTGAAGAAGTGATTGAGGAGTGTAAGCTGTTTTACTTTGTCGGGCAAGAGACCACTGCAGCATTGCTTGTTTGGGCAATGGTTTTACTAAGCCACATTCAGAATTGGCAAAATCGAGCAAGAGAAGAAGTCTTGCAGGTTATTGGAAGCAATAACACACCAAGCTTTGATGCTCTAATGCACCTACATGTTGTAAGTGTCTAATGTTTTCTTGTAAACTAATTATATGTATAAACTTGTAATTTGAATGTTTTATATCGCTTACATGAAATAATTAGCTGCACCTATAATATGCCCCAGGTGACCATGATCTTACTGGAAGTTCTGAGATTATACCCACCGGGTGTTGAGATGTCTAGAATCACTCACAAGAAAACACAACTTGGGAAATTATCATTACCAGCTGGAGTCGACGTCTATGTACCCATACTTCTTGTTCACCATGACAAAGAATTGTGGGGTGACGATGCAGATGAGTTCAAACCAGAGAGGTTTTCAGGAGGAGTTTCATAGGCAACAACAACAGATTCACATACTTCCCTTTTGGCGCTGGTCCGTGGATTTGCATTGGCCAAAATTTTGCTATGATGGAATCAAAACTTGCCTTATCATTGATCTTACAACACTTTACCTTCGAGCTCTCTTCATCCTATGCTCATGATCCTTTAACATACGCAACTCTTCAACCTCAATCTGGTGCTCACGTAATTTTACGTAAATGTCGTTATTAGTTTTGTTGTATCGATGTTTGACATTAAAGTTCTAAACCATGTATTGTGTTGTTATGCATATATTTTCTCTAAATAGAACTTTGCCGCCTAATATGTCTTGCATCTTATTTCTAGCAGCTGCTACATAAGAATGAGCTAGATATAGATAGGGCATAGTGACGCAGTGAGTTCAGCTTCGCCTGTGATGCAAGACGTAGCCTCCAGTAAGAATATTTTAATAACCTAATGTGGTGCACATGATATGGTCCTAGTGTTTAATGGATATTATTGTGAAGGGTGATAAATAATTATGAGTTTCAAGGAAATAGGTTCTCTTTACCTATAACAATGCGCATACCCATATAGTGTTGCACTAACGAAAAACACGTATTAGGGTTTTAACGTGCAAGCAAGGCTAAAGAGAGAACCTAATTTTCTCCACACCGACGGCTCATCTACAGAACGTTCAAGATAAAGGTTGTAGATGATATTTAACGACTAGTTATCAAGTTATGTGATTTATGTCTTCCCCATTAATTGTGTGAATATCATGGAGTTCAAGATTTTGGCTCATAAATTGAGTCTTATGACTTTACCCAATTTTAAGTTGGGTTTTTATTACAAATGGTCTCTGAAATTGAAAATCAATCAATGTAGTCCCTGAAAATAGGTGCCCCAAATCAATGTGGTATTTCTGTCACAATTCTATTAAAAATTATGTTAAGTGCTGATGTGGCACATAAATGGGCCCCACAAGTCCTTTTTTCTTACAAATGGTCCTTAAAATTGACCCACGACATCAAAATGGTCCCTAAAATTGACTCGTAACATCAAAATGGTCCCTGAAATTGAAAATTGATCAATGCAGTCCCACAAGTAAGTGTCTCAAATCAATGTAGTTCTTTTGTCACAATACTATTATGTGCTGATGTGATACATAAATGGGTCACACAAGTCTAATTAAATTAAAAAAAAATTAGAAATAGGCTTAATAATTTAGTAGTTAATAAAAAAATTGTCAACTCAAAAACCCAGTCATGCAATCACCTCTGATCCCAGTCGACATTTCTCTACCTCATTCGCTCTCTATTCTCTAAAAGAAATCTCAATACACCTATCTTTACACATTTCGACACCCTTCACTGAATTGAACCTAGATCGAGATCACCTTTGGTGATGGCTTGACCCATTAGCAACAACTATTGGAACATCACCATTAACATTTAGGCGATTAATATCCTCACAACCTTTATCTTGAAGAGCTTGTTTGCGCTTTCCAGGTGGTCTAGTGATGCAAAGAACGACAAGGTCTGACTTGAGATAACGAGGTTATAACCGAGGTGCATCCATTATTGGTTGAAAACTATTTCCATACCCCCTCTTAGGCCTTGGTTAAGTCTTGTGCCCTTGAGAATTTATGAAATGGATCTTTTTTCGGAGTAGGCCTACTATAAGAAAAAAAAAATTCATTGTGCAAAAAGGTATTTAGACAACTTATTTTAATTAATTATTAAACCCACATCAGCACATAACAATTTTTTTTTTACAGAATTGTGGCAGAAAAATCATATTGATTTGCGACACCTATTTTCAAGGACTACATTGATTGATTTTCAATTTGAGGGACCATATTGATGGTGTGGGTC